GGGGAGGCAACAGGGGTGGCAAGGCTCTCGTTTGGGGTGGCAACTGCCACCCCATGCCACCCCAGTAGATCCGCCCCTGCCGACATGGCGAAGATGAGCTGGGAAACAGACTGAAGAACAGCAGCTCAGGCTCTGATCCTGACTGATCTTTCCTCACTAAATCCTCTGGTTTCTAATGAACTTCTCCTCTAACAGTGGTTTTTCATCACCTCTCTCTCATTAGAAAACAGTATGAAAACGTTAGCTGCTAAGCTAACAATCAGCGGTTATTTCGGGCCAATTTAGCTACATAGGAAATATTTTTCGGTTGTTTAAAAGCGAATTTCTGGCTGCAAAGTCAAGTAATTCTGATCTTTCATCCTTACCTGGGGAAGGTAATGAGAATTAATCCAGATTGTTTCGTAAAACCGTTGAAATAAGTCCACACAGCACAGGACTTAAGGAGGTCCGATCACTCTGCTGCCACATAGAAGATGGCGGAAGCTTTTACGTATGACTCAGCGCTCCATGAGGGGTCTACGTATTGATGTCTATGGAATTATCCTATGATGTAAAGCACTTTGAACCACCTTGCTGCTGAGATGTGCTATACAAATAAACTTGAGTGATTTTCATACACCATGGCACAGTGAAGGCAACTACCAATAATTCAAGACCATATTGAACAAGACCGACATTAGATTTCTATCAACTGGGCTTTAAATCCAAATTCGACTGCTTTATATTGTAAGTAGGTTTGATTGTAAAGTATGTATGAGTCTTAATCTGTCTTTATGATTGGATTCTGATGTTTGAAGCTGATTTTGCATGCCTATGTATGAATCAGAGCTGGTCTAGTACTGAGGTGACCTTTGTTGTGATTTGGAACGACGTAGCTTAAGTTGAGTTGAAATGTTGGAAGAAAATATAGAAGTAGAATCTGCTTAGTAGTATAAAGCCATAGAGGAGGCCAGATGACATTTACTACAATATCATGAATAAAGGTTTAGAACCAAAACAGGGTGAACTAACATTTGACTTTTGAGTTACAGTGTGCATATAGTGAGTATGGAACTCTGTTTAACATAAGTAAGCTTGGGAGGACAATCAGAAGGACACGTAAGCTGCAATTTCTTGATTATTGTTTGTAACTTTTCATGTTTTTTATTCGCTCAACGTGCCCAGCAGGGGCCCCGCCTCTCACCGGTCGCTCCGTCTTTTCTCGTCCACCTCTTGTTATTCTGCTGAGGAAGTTATCAGTTTAATAACAGATCCACCTCAGGAGATGTTTCACCTCTCGCCCTTAGACATCTTGGCTTATGGCGCCCGTCATTTGTGTGTTCCTTCACATTGTACGGCTCTGCTGCTTTGACCCTCGGCACAATGCTGGAGATGTTTTTTTCTTTCTTATCGTACTCTGCCAGGCTGAGGGGTTGGGTCCCTCGGCCGTTGCCGCCACCAAGCTTGTTGTCCAGAATACTGGCGGGCGGAGAGGGTATTCTCACAATCTGTGCATCAATCTATGATTATATGTAAATCCTGTCTGATCCCAACATTCAGCTCATTACAACAAATTGTCAAAGGTATTTAACATTTAGCAACAACTTATAGAGCATTTCTGTTATTATGTAAGTGGGGGGGGGGAAAAACAGATTTTCTTACTGCCCACATGTCGCCTCATTTCATGTAGAAAATCTATATTATCGTTGTCTGGATTGTTAAACGAGTCAAAGTTCAAGTGATTCATGAGAAATAGATACCGTTTGTGCTACTAAGTGTGTTCAAATGATTTGGAATTGTGTTTCAATCTAGAATGGGATTTCTTCTTTTTTTAAGTTGTGTAACAAGTAAATAAAAAAGTAATCAAACATCTAATCATCTAAAATACATATAATTCTGTGATAAAGTAATTTTTAACATGTTTTACGAGTTTCTTCAATCAAGAATTTGATTGTTTTGTCAATAAAAAGAATCAAAGTATTTTCCCCCTGGAAAATCTCTGCTGTTGTTTGACACTTGTTTCGGATCAGGCAGTAGACTTGGTGTTGCAGATGAACAGATATAAGTATTCTTTCTAAAAAGAAAATCTAATGTCTGAGTCCGTATGTATAATATTATTAACACCCAGATGCCTCGATATTTGCAGATCAACACTCTCTAAACTGGAAGATCACTTATTGGCTCAGAATAAACTTTCCTAGATTTGTTAGCGATATCCATCTTGAGCAGTTTTAAATTATGGAAGTGTTTCTGAAGGTTAAGAGAGAATTACTATAGATTTTAAACAGGATAAAGTCAGTAAAGCAGTAAATAACTCATCTGCAAAAAGACTGATTTTACAGCTTTTCAATGAAAATATCTGTGACAGATTGATATGTGAGAATTAGTTTTTCACTGTACTGCTTGCTACATTAGAACAACCTGGTCAACAATAATAATTAAAAAAAAACTTTCAGATTGTTGTTTGTTATATGTTATCAGATATATTAAACACGAGGGCTGAGGCTATTTAACAGGAACTTTAATATCTTCACTGGTAACTGATCCCATAAAAAGCATCCGATTCACATTCACCAGCTACCATTTCTATTACATCATTTGCTGAATGTTTCTACGCTGAATTCTGTGCAGTGACACCAAGGTCAATGGATTGGCAACACCTCACACTGCTTTCATCACGTGGAAAGCTTATTTTTGATGTCTGAAACCTTTCAGTTTAGCAGCTTGTTACGCTGTAATAAGGTCACATATTTATCTTTGATTGGTGTGTAACCTCCATACTCTGAAAATCCATGAAGTGCTGACCCACTGAACACGTCCATGACAACACTGGCCAAGTGCGAGCAGATTATGCTCCGACGGCCAGATAATCTTGTCACACAAGCTCAACAGACTGAGCAGAGATACAGTTGCAGGCAAATGTTGGCGCCCTTCCACAAAAAACAAAAGTACCTCTGGAATAACGTGAAACTGACATGTGTTTTTAAGTTGCCTTTTACTATTTATCCTATATTTAAAGGGGAGGAAGTATTATGTAAAATTTACTTTTTTTATATAAACATACATGCATGTTTGATTTTCCCGTGGCAACCATCTGGGGTGCCTAAAGACTTGCTCTCACAAAGCACCGCCTATTTCCACAAAGCTCCACCCCCCCTCCACAACTTCCCCACTCAGCTCCTTCAGACTAGCAGCAGCAGCAATTAGCAAACACTAACTGCACGTCTTCTGAGTCCATCATACACACTACTTCTCAGTTCAACGCTCCTAAGAACGGTTGTAAATTACTTGACGGAGGAACACTGTTGTGGTGACTTCCTGAAGTCCGAGTGTTGGAAAGAGGAGGAGCTTCTTAAAGAGACAGAGGCCGAATTTCAAGGTGCCAAATTGCGAAGAAAATTTTCTTTTTCTTTATGTTTGATTTATGTTCAGCTGCATTTTTAAAACAACTGCAGGCAACACTTGATTGTGCTATGAAATGGCTCTATGTGCCTGGAAAATACAGAATACCTTCCCTTAAAGACAAACCTGGCTTTGCTTTAGATAATTGATTCTATTGAATATGGCTTCATTCACCTTCATTCTCTCCGAGTTCTGTCTGTGGACGTGATTTTTTTGTTTTGTTTTTGTCTTTCTGTAAATAGAGGCGCATCCCTCTGCTTCTTTCATGGGGCTTATTAAGTTCAAATTGCAAACCACTGAGCAATCAGACAGTCATGCGCCTTGGAGTTCAGCTTGAAAGGTTTTCTTGGTTCTTTTTCCCTCTTCTACCATCCACACCATCATGCTGATCGATTCTGGGGCTGCATTTCATTACATTGTCATTTTTAGATTTTACATATTTGGCAGCTGTGCTCACAGGAAGAAAAAAAAAGCCAGACACTAATTGTCTTTACCTTTAAACGCGGATAACTAAAATCTTCCTTTTAAACCCTCCAACCGGTTCTTACATTTAGTGAGTCAATAGTATGTTGGTTTTGTTTGAAATTAGCTGTATGGTTGATGAAAAGCTTGAAGGCACCTGTTGTTCTAATCGCGGTCAAACACCTAGCTTGTAACATGACTGTAATGCAATGATTAATAGTCTTCTTAAAGGTACAGTCAAGTGAAATCACCAAAAATAACTTATTTTCACGGTTTTATTTCATTATCACACTGCAACAGTACATAGGTAAACATCAGACAGGAGCTTTCAGTTGAATCAGGATTTCCCAGGCGTTGCTTCAGTGACACCAGCACTTGTTTCTGGCTCCATATCTTCATACCTTCACTTCTCAGAAGTGACATTTTTCAGCTCGCTGCATTTCACACCGACTGAGACGCCGCTATGCCTGAAAGCTTCCTGCTTGCTTTTTTTTTTTTTTTTTGTATTCCTGAGTTTGCTTCTAAAGTAACCCAGATAGCTCCAGTGAAAAAAGGAATTTAAAGCCAATTTGAATGCAAATTTGTCTTTTTGTTTATTCTGTGAAAAGCGTTTTTGTTTTGTTTTTGTTCCGCTCCCCCTCCCCAGCCCCCAATCTTTGAGCTGAAAAGGAAAGTTATGTCACTGTGAAAGGCCCAACAGCAAATGTGTTCAGATTGCCATACTTCAGAGAGCTGAGGCAGTGGGGCGACACGGAGGCCCTCTGAGGTTTTAAACGGGTCCATTCAGTTTCGTCGAGTGCTGCAGTCGCTCCCGAGCGAACGTGAAAAGGCGTGCTTTTACTTTCACGTGAAGCACGCTGCATAATTATGGTGGAAATTTAATATCGTTAAATACAGCGGTGTGAATAATTTCCTCACACAAAGAGTCAGTTGAGCGTTTCTAACACAACTCAGCATTCGTGCTTCTTGCTTATCTCCCTCTGCAGGAAAACTCTTTCCGTTTCAAAGTGTCCTCTTTGACAGGCAGTAGAAAAGGAGCTCTGAGGGAAGCAGTTCCTCAAAGCTTGTCAAATACTAACTTTCTCCTCCTTTTTTCCTCTCCGTCTTTCCTGAATTCCCTCCTGTTTGTGTCCCTCCACCCCCATCATACACTTTAGTTTGATGTCAGGTCTCGCTGCCCTGGATGCCAAGTGCTCAAGTCGCTTGGGCATCATGACCATTTCCTACTACTTGTGGACCACGTTTGTTGCCGTGGTGGTGGGCATCCTCATGGTGTACATCATACATCCGGGTGGCGCCGCCCAAAAGGAGGACTCCGAGGACAGCAAGAAGCCCATGACGAGTTCTGCTGATGCGCTGCTGGACCTCATCCGGTAAGAGGCCGTCGAGAAATCCATTGTGAAATGGTGGCCTTGCAAAAGTATCGATACCGGCTGATTTAAATTATTTTGTGGAATTAAACAGAAAAATTAAACATATAAAATAACGCAGCCTTAAATGATCCACCCTGCTCTTTTAAGACTACAGGGGCCTGGAAACTTACATGCGACTGGGTTACTGTGCTAAGCTAATTAGTGCTGAAGTCTGGTTGTATTAGAGGTAAACCTGGGTCAGGCCTGCTGAGGAAAACATGGGTCGTGTCAGTCAGACGGTGGACTACGGCCAAACGCCACCAAATCAAGACCTGGAGAACTGAATTAAAGGAACTCATAAAAACCATCAAAAACCATCAAAAACGTGAACAAACACAGGCATACGCCTATGTAATTTAAATAAACTATAATAAACCTAATGCTTAATTAGGAATTTGGCCTCAGGATGTTTTGCTATAAAACCAGAATTAAAATATATTCCATTTTGGCTTGCATTTAGCAGGAATTATTTAAAAAAACAACAAAACAGGGTTATAAACTGGCCGAGCTCATAAATCCAGCTATGTACTGATCATGTGCAGTGGTGAAGCCTCTTCTATAATAGGCAACAAACTGTGTGTGTGTGTGTGTGTGTTTACAGAGCACAGCTGGGCTTTGGATTTATTGCGCAAAGCTTCTTTACTGCCTTCATCTAACGTGCAGTCATGGTCTGCTATAGCTGCATCCTCACAAAAGCACCTGACTTTCGCACAGTGGTGTGTTTGTTGTGAGCGAACACGCGCCGCCACATTATATAAATGAGCATGAATGGAAACGCGCCTCGTTTATTCTGAGCTCTGAACTCAGAGTGGCTCATTAACTAAAACGCAGGAAGGAGAGGCTACGGTTTCTCTTTGTAATTAAATCAGTTCAGAGGATTTTGTGAAGAAGTCCCACCTGACTGACTCCGCCCACTCTGTTTCCTAAGCTTTCTTTAGAATACAGTATGTCTTAATCTCTCGTAGGATTACTCATCTTCGACTCTGCACTGGCGTGGGATTTACAACCGGTTCCAGCGTTTCAGTTCGGTTTGTTTACGCGGCACAGGTTCACGGCAAACGTTGCCTCGATTCATTTTACGAGATTATTTTCTGATTATTGTACAGAAACGTGAAGGTAATTGTGCAAACAGATTCAAAGTCAGTTTGACCTTTCTTGTTGAGGGCCAATGTGCTTGAGGGCCCCTGCAGGCATGAGGGGCTACAAGACTGAATAAAATTTTAAAAGGACAGAATGACAAACGAGTCATTTGAGCGTAAACACAAATAAAGTATTGAACAGTTACTTTGCTTTAGCAATTCAGATCAAGTAGTAACATTTATATTTCATCTATTAGACAGAACAGTAACATACACTGATATATTTTGATGATCACAGCAGACAGTTAATAAAAACCTTAAAATTTAGTTTCTTGAATAGTTTGAGTATTGCAGAACAAACTGCACTTCCTAACCATGTGGTGAGACTCTGACCATTAAGGCATCTCTTTATCTAAAATCCTATTTTTAAGTTCAACATTTCTGAACTTTCTGGTTCTTATCTGTAAACCATGTTGATCAAAATGATCAGAAGTCATGCGATGATTGATATATATATATATATATATATATATATATATATATATATATATATATATATATATATATATATATATATCTCACTCTGTCTGTAATAAATCCCTAGACAAAAAATAATAATACTTTTTAAGTGCAAGTTGATCCACAAATGGAATTCTGCCTGGGGATCTCTGACCACGTTGGGTCTGTTCTGTTGTTAACAAGTGACCTTCTTGTTGGCACACTGAGAAAATGAGAAAATCCTCATCAGTTTGTTTGGTCAGGACTTTTGGATGTCAGCGGTGCAGTATGCCGTTTATTCATCATTTTCCTGGAGGCATCCCAATCTGGTGATGTTCTGTTGCTCCATGAGAAAAGCTGAGTGTGTTTGAGTGAAATGTGTTTATTATTGCTTTAAAGGATGTTTCATGGTGTAAAATCTGCTTTTATAATGTAATAGTCAAGAGCAGTGGCGCAACTGCACATTATTCAGGTGGATGCGAAAACATAAATCCCCCCCCTCCCCCCCGAGGGAAAGAACTTCAGGGTGAAGGACCGACGCTTTCTTTTCTTTTACTCTAATTTCCAGCTACAAAAACAGATTTTTCAATCAGATTCATGCCTGACCTCTGGATGACCCGTTTCACAGCATTAATATTCATATTAGTCAGAAGAAACGTGTTGGTAATATTGAACAGCTACTTTATGAATAACTTTGAACTTAACTGTAGACGGAAACAAAAAAGCAAGGTTCTATGAAAACATAAGATCATTTGAACTTAACCATAGTTTGATAAAAGCCTACATGTGATATTTGACATTTACAGGTTTAGTGTTTTGATACAATTTAAGTTTTTCTTAATTAGCCTTTTCATCTTCACTCAGTCTCTGCTTGATATCTCCGGTATTTCTGCATGTGTCGCCATAGTTACACACTGGCTGCCTGTCCTCCCACATGAGCCTTAGTAACATTTAGTAGCATCGTTGAAACCGTGTCATTCAACCCATACAGTACGACATTTGACAGTCACTGATCAATTTTTCCAACTTTTTTTCCCCCAGCAACATGTTTCCAGCAAACTTGGTTCAAGCTACATTTCAACAGGTAAGCTAATATCAATATGACATGGTAATAAAATATTTTAGAAAGGAGATCATACATGGTGTCGTTTAAGATTTTGCAGGAATAGATTTTTTTTTCCAACAAAAAAAAGGTAGAAGGTAAGATGCTACAGCATTTGTGCTAAGCTAGCAAACAGTTAGTTTACAGCACGGCGATTCACGGGTTTTAGGAACCACTGCCAAAAAGTTAAAATCTACAAATTGTTGAAATTGCTTACAGCTGCTTATTTTAATAGTTCAAACACCAAATATATCTTACTGTGCTTTAAAACAGGCAGTGGAAACCATATTAGCTCAACCACACAGGCTAACATCTTTATTTCTGCTATTGGTGGTACAACCAATCAGTGACAAGACAAATAAATGCAACTCTTGGATTGGCTCCTTTCGTAAACATCTACCAACAGTGTGCCAAGTAGCAGTGCACATTGGTTTTCACCTCCTCAAGTCGCATTTTTCAATTCAAATATTTTTGATACGCTATGAAAAAAAAAGTTGGACGGATTTTCCACAAATAAATTGGAGAAGGCCTGTCACAATACTTAGCCATGTCACTGAACACAGCAATAAACAAATCCAACTTGGTTTTACACTTGCATCTAACTCATACAGCCTCATTTCTGTCATATAATGCAGATGCCAGAAGTAATCAACTCTCCTACCTCAACATTTTGCTGATCAGTTTTAATTGCTCCTTTATCTAAAAAATGTTGCTCTTTACAAGAAATCTTCTTGTTTCCTATGATTAGTGGATAATTATCCTGAATTTGAATGTCTGATTTATTTGAATACATACCATTTAAATCTCTAGTTGTGTGGAAGTAAAGTCATTATCTTGTCTGAAATAATTATCTTCAAAACCAGAAGATAATGGCGTGTAATTTTAAAATGGTGAACCTAAAAAAAAATAAAAAAAATGTCTGTCCCAGTTCAGTGCAGACTTCTGTTTGATCATGTGTTTGTTGTGTGGATTATCAGAAATTACAAACATCACATTGAGAAAATGGCATGCAGTCGGTTGTTTAAACAAACAAAAAAAAAAGAAAAGAAAAGAAAAGAGCCCAACCATGTGGTTAGTGTTTCCACTCCGATTATTGTGCTGATTTAGAGGCTCCTGCTTGTTTTTTTCCGTCCTCCAGTATCGGACACAGAGAGTGGCCGAGCTGATCCCCAAGCCGACGGTGGCCCAGCTGCTGGATGAGACCACCACGCGGCGGGTCTACATCTATGGCGTCCAGGACGACAACGGCACAGACATTCAGAACTTCTCCTTGGACCTGACGCCACCTCCTGACGTCATTGTGAAGACGTCGCCCGGGACCAGCGAGGGCATGAACGTGCTGGGGATTGTCATTTTTTCTGCGACTATGGGTGAGCGCTTGGCACGCCCCCCTGCAAACATTAGCATGCACTACACCCGAAAGCAGCAGCAGCTCAAAGTGACGGTCTGGGCATGCTCCACATTTCTGAATGATTCAGTTAGAAACACGCGTTTCGCCCCTGGTGAGCAATTAGCACAGTTTGAAAGCTTCCCTGTAGGTGAACCCCAGGTAAACATAATATGTACCCCTGTATACACCAGCAATGTAGTTATTATTTTTTTTTTAACCTCTTATTATAGGAATAATGCTGGGCAGGATGGGACCCAATGGAAGCGCGTTGGTCAACTTTTGCCAGAGTTTGAATGAAGCAGTTCTGAAGATCGTTGCCATTGTCATCTGGTAAGAGTCACAGTGGAAACAGAAAGTTCACATAAAAGCAACAACACACCTTACTCAGCCCAATACAATGTTTACTAATATACATTTTTTTTCCAATTCTGAATTTTCATATATCCACTAAAGAAGTATATTAATGAATAAATATTGAGTCTAATCTAAAGGGAGGTGTAAACGGTCTAAAAATAAAGTTCCCCCTTTTTTTTGCACGACTGTCACTCCTTATGGAAAATTTTGAAAGCACTTAGAGGCCACAAAATTTTATTTTTTAAGTAAATTTCTTTCTTATTTCTGTATTTGTACAATAATAAACCGAAAATGCAATTTTTTACGAAAACAACAAAAACAAAATAGTCGAGATTGTTTTTTTTACAAAACTGAAATCACAGACAATCCAATATGTTAAAAGAGTCTTGAGTAAATGGGTTACTACAGAAGAGGACAGTAGTAACGTCTTGGTTTGAGTCTTGTTTTTTGGGCAAGGTTTTTTTTTTTTTTTTTTTTTGGTAAACTCAGCAACAAGAATGTGGTGATTCTTTCTTCTGAAACTGCTCAAAAATCTATTTTTTTGTTTAATTGTTGCTGGATGTCTGTGGCTCTATTTAATGAATAAAAACTCATTTGTTGTATTTAGTGTTTTGTATAATAGGGCGACTGTCTGTGAAAATGAAAGACTTTTTAAAAAGTGTCCATCTGCATCGATCAGTTTCTACTCTCAGGCCAGAGTCTTCATTTTTGATTTGTTTATAGAGCTGCATAAAAATCATTCAGAGGGCCATAAATGGGCTGTCGAATTGGAAATTTCCAATTCAACAAAGAAAGGCTGATTAACTGTTTCTGTGTTGAGTTGAGTTTATTTTCTGGATGGTTCTCCTAGTGCTGATACGCATCGACTTTCCCATGTTTTCCTGTGTGATGAAAAGACAGAAAAGTAATTTTCTGTCATCACTCCCAAACAACCAGTTGGCAGAAAATGGTTGTTATTAAGACCTGGTGAACCTCAAGATGCCTCTGTCCTGTGCAGTTCTCCAACAGCCAGCTTTGGAGCTGTTGCGTTACCTCCCTCACTTTCTGTGTGGTGGCAAGATGTACACACACACACATAACCTCTAAATATGAAAACATCGGACAACAGAGCAGCTTAGTTCCAGAGCAAACTGGGCTTCAGCGCTCAGCAACACCCAAGCAAACCTGTCCCAATAACCAAGACGAATTTGAAAGTGCAAACAAAAGCATCAACGTGTCGACATTTTTGTAACGTTAATTTCTCTTGTACGGAATGCCAGTCATTTTCTGTTTTCGCGTAGCCTTTTGGGGCCAGAGCCAAATGCTCGGGGATGCAGAAAACGTTGCAACATATTGCCTCAAGTCATAACGGAAGTTCTTTGACCTCTCAGAAATGAAATAGAATATAACAAATCTCAGTCATTCCCATCATGTTAGACATCCTAATAATGAAATACTGATCATTATTTATTGTTCCATTATAATTCTACAGTGCTTCTGGCAGCATTGGGATATAGATTTAATTACTCCAGTATGCCTAAATAGCTGGACATGTTTAAGTGAAGTTGTGAGTTGGGGGATTAAATCCCAGTTATTTCTGCTTTTATATATATATATATATATATATATATATATATATATATATATATATATATATATATATATATATATATATATATATGTAAACATGCAAATTTTCAAGATACAAACTCCCTGCTGCAAAGAATAATTTTAATATGCAGAGGTTGTTCTAGTGTTACATCATAATTATTGTATATGAGGAAAACAGAAAGTCCTGGGCTGCTTATGCATGTTAAAACGTTTCAGTCACATGCATTTCAAAAGTATCGTTAGGGGCACCAGTAGAGAAAACAATTATTTCTCAATAAGGTTTTTTTTCCCCACTTCACACAATAGAGGGGAAAAATAGTTTTTATTTCTGAAATAATATGTTGGATTATTATAAAGTGTGGCCCCAGAGTGCAGTTCAAGAGCGGGTAGTAATTTGGTCCTCCAGCGACTGAAGCTGATGAAAAGAAGAAAAAAAATAAAAAATAGGATGAGAGTTTTAATGACATTTATTTCTTTTTAAATGGAAAATATTAGGGACACCATAACGTATTTTTATTTGGTAAGCCCTTTTTTTTTCCTTTCATATTATTGTGAATGGCTCAAAATATTCATTTTTTTCAATAAAAAAAAAACTAAAAACATATTCAAGACCTAAAAATCCATAAATATTTGATCCAAAAACTCAAGAAACTGTATACTTTTCTTTTATGAAGACAAAACACCCTTTCTTCAGACCTACAGTCATTTGTTCATTTCTTCTTTGTTTCATTGGAATAATGTATTTTGAATTTACTGGTTCACTGAACAACGATCACACGAGGAATGAGAACCGACAGTAAAAAGGATAAAACACCTCGTTGCCAGCGGAGACATTCTGCATTTATTTAGATTGGTGACCTTTAACCCAAATCGTGAGATGGATTCATATTGTTGTATCCGTTTGTGCTGGTAGATGATTTGCTGCTACCAGTAGTGGGTTTGAATGTTTTGAACCACAGATTGTTTTGAAAGTGTCAATGAGATTACGAAGTGCCGTAATTTGCTGATAGCTGACGTAAACAGCTTGTGTGAAACAAACAAACTATTAGTTCAAAAGACTAATAAATAGATTTATATACACAAAGACAAAGGATACATCTATCATTTCAGTATGTTCCAGTTGGTTTTATAAATGCATAACATAGTTCCCGTTAGTGTTGTTCCCCACAAATTACCATATTTATTCATTTCAGCTACCAAAAATCTTTTCTCAATTTCAGTTTCTGTCATTTCGATAGATTCAGTTAGCTACAATTACCTTTGCTAACATGCTAACTTCTGATGACTAACAGTTTACCCTAGCATGACGATGTTTTTGTTCAGCTCTTACTTCATGTTTAAGGGTCACTAGCAACATTCATACGAAGAATACGGCTTTGGGAAATCTTATATTTTGAGTCCAAGTTCTTAAGCTTTCCTCTTCTCTTCTCCTCCGCCTCCAGGTATTTTCCCTTTGGCATCGTCTTCCTTGTTGCCGGGAAGATCTTGGAAATGGATGACCCATCAGCCATGGGGAAGAAACTAGGCTTTTACGCCATCACTGTGGTCATGGGCTTGGTTCTCCATGGCCTTTTCATCCTTCCTGCCATGTACTTTTTCATCACCAAGAAGAGTCCCATAGTGTACATTAGAGGGATTCTGCAGGCTCTGCTCATCTCTCTCGCCACCTCCTCCAGGTAAAAACAAAATGATGATCCATCTGTACCTCTTCAGATACTCAGCTTGGTAGGGGCTTTGTCGTCTTGAGCTTTGTACATGTCCTCCAAACATATGGACGTATTTTTGTGATGCTGGCATCATGCTGGACAGTTATTATGACGTTTTAGCCCAGAATTATAGATCAATAAAACCCAGCAATTTTTATTTACAGAAAACATTTCAGATTTCAGGTTTAAAGTGGACAGAGATAAACAACTAGGCAGCAACGCACATTAGAAATAATCCGACTAAGTAAAAAAATATGAATAAATTCATTTATTCAATCAGATAAATGAATCACTGTTGGGGGATGATGAGCTGAGAACATGCAACTGTTTAAATTAGTAATGAAAAGTCAGTGTTGTAGTGTAACACTGTTATAGTAACCTAAAAGTATGAATAGTGTAGTAAACATACAAATACCTACATGTTTGTGATAGAATCTGAACTATCAAAAAGATATAATGGTTACCAAAATAAAAAAGAACTACTTAATATTGAAATTAAGTAGTACATTCTAAAAAAGTAAATATTATAAATGAACAGATTGCTTATTACATCCATATTTTTAGCTGCCTTAAGGTCTTTAACAAGCCTGATTCCTGGCTAAGAAAACAAACTTAGTCAGCTAAACAAATCCACAGTCAATCAACTTTCAATACACACCAATGTAAATCTGACAACACAAACTAAATACTTCTTTTAGCATCTGGTATCTTCTGGGATGCTGCCAGAGTTTATATAAGAGCATAAAAAACTTCTTTTGATCTTCAGTTAAAGTTATGAAGAAAACTTAACTGCCATTAGCGCTTTGACCTCATGGGGTGGTGGGTGGTTCTAATCAGAATAAGTAATCATACCACCACTGACTGTTTTGACCTTTTGTTTTTCTGCCTTCGTGCCGCAGCTCTGCCACTCTGCCTATCACCTTCAAGTGCCTCCTAGAGAACAACCACATCGACCGGCGCATCATCCGCTTCGTGCTGCCCGTCGGGGCCACCATCAACATGGACGGCACCGCTCTCTACGAGGCCGTGGCGGCCATCTTCATCGCCCAAGTGAATAATTACGAGCTCGACTTTGGGCAGATCATCACCATCAGGTAAAGTTGAAACAACTCAGGCTTTTCCGCTGAATGCTGCGTGAAGAATTGTCAGCTTCAGGGGCGGCAGTGGGCTGGAGAAGTGATATTAGCTCGGTTTGCCCTTTTCAAGCAAATATTTCAAAGTTTCCTCGTGGCAGGTTCTTTCAGTTTAAATAACTAGAAAAGCTACATGATTAAATAGCTGCTCTAAGGGTTTTTTTCTTTTTACATGAGGTCGAGTTCAACGTATGCGTGGTTTCTCGCTCAGCATGCTAATGAAGCTTTGCCGCCTTCTGTATTTTGTGAATTTAAAGAAGCTTCCTGAACACTTAGCCCTTTACAGGTTCACACGCCTGCTTCAAAGTTTGTCTTCAAATGAGAACAGGGAGTTTAAAAGTGTGTCATATTTACCTTCAGGCAGAATCCTGTGTTGATTTTTTTCTTTTTCCCTTTCACTAAAGACTAAAGGTTAGGATGTTTCCGCAGTTACGTTGCATCGTTAAACTACGACTGCAGGGCTTCATGTTCAGGCTACCAACTCTCTGAACAGAAAGGCCCAGGGACACTTTTCACTTTTCTCTCTCGTTTGTGGTAAAAGCCGACTTGTGGAAATTTTTTCCACCCAAATTGTCGAGAACCCCTTCCCCCCCCCCCCCCCCCCAAAAAAAAAAAAAAAAACTGTTGAATATTTTACAGCAAACAATCCATGCCAAGATATTTCATAACTAAAGCATTAATTCAGCTTAAAAAAAAATTAAACCACAGGGGGAAAAGAAGAATGGAGCTACAACTTTTCAAAAACATGACTTAATTCGCAAAATGTAACCAAATTTAGTATGTCCAGCTTACTTTTTTATGTTTAACATGACAACTGAATAAACCTAAAGTGGCAGTCATCGACATAATCTTATAATGTTATAAATTTTCCATTAGGTCATATATGACATGAACAGCATTTTTCTGACAACTGAAGGTAACAGCTACTTGATTATTCTATACAATGGACTATATATGTGCCAGGAAAACCCCGCTTTAATTTGTTTAATATGACAACTTAGTAAATTTAATCTGTTTACTTGGATAAACTTAATTTGACTTTCTGTTACAAATGATTATTTTTTTGGAACTTGGCTCACCCATTGCATTTCAGAGCAAATCCGAATTTTCTTAAAACAAAATCAGAATCCCAGGAAGTCACAGCCAGCCTGACCGGGTTGCTTCGAGTTCAGCATGTGAAGGAATTTGGCATCACACGTTCAAATCTGAATTATTAATACTATTATGGGATTGAGTAGATTCTCGTATATGTAAATGTCACACAGATTACAGCTGGTGTGAGAGCCTCTTAGTCTGATCTGATTTCAGATGAATCGGAGCTCGGTGATGGCGCAAAAAAAAAAAAAAAAATTAATTAAATCAAATGCTCCGACTCCGCTAGCAACAAGGAAAAGAGGCGCGAACAAATGTCCTGCTCCTCACCTGGCCGGAGGCCACGTTTGACCGCAACGTCGTTAGGAGCAGACCTGTCCTCACGGTCGCGCTCTCAACGTACGGTCCCTCCGTCTAATCCCTCGGCTGTAAAACCCACATGACCTGTATTACTCATCTCACATGTCATGACAGAATTATAATCGTTTCCCTCTCTGTCCCTGCGCCGCTTGGCTCGGGACCACGGAGCTCCTCCATCTGTACGCCAACCCGACCCGAAGCGCCGCTTTCAGATAACGAGTCCAAACCGACCGCTTTGCAGCGACCGCGGTTCAAACCAGATGTTTATATAAACTGTCAAAAAAAAAAAAAAAGGCCTTTTTTTCCTCCCCTCACTGTCTGAGATGAAATCAGGCTAAACGTTTTCTGGTTTTGCTAATCCTGTTTTTATCATTGCCAAAAATAATCAGTTTGTTAAAATGCCAGAATAGCAAGACTTGCACTATGTTATGATTGCTCTTGTTTTTAACCTATTTGGGAAAGTCAGGGGTCTGAGACTTAGAGGCTCTTTGGATCTTCTACAATGGCTCTTAACTGTCTAAAAATAATTTAAAACGATAGATATCATAAAAATAATAATACATTGTATTTAAAGCAACTTTCAGGACGCTTAAGGTCACTGTACAGTAAAAAAAAAAAAAAAAAAAAAAACAATTCTAGTAGTCATTCAATCTTATAAAAAAAAAGCTTCGAAAAATTGGTTAATCTAAAAAGATGTTTTTAATATAATATCTAATAATAAATGCAGGTTTTTAACTGTTTTTCAGTTTATTCTTTCGATATCTGCATTTGTGCAAAGATCCTAAACGAATCTAAAACAGGAGAGGTTTGTTCTGATTTGATGTCAGATGGTGAGGAACGAAGGCCACGTCTATTTTTAAACGCTGGATGTAAAGATGAAGTTTAAACTTTATGAAAAATGGAGAAGAAAAAAACAACTGCTATAAATTCAGAATCGTCATTACTTTTATGAGATAAAGCTTAAACTGCATGCCGCTTCTTTGTAGCTAAACTTGTAAAACTTAGACACAGGCCTTAAATTCAACTACAAAAACAAAGTAGTAAATTAGAAAAATAAGAGACAAAAACTAAAGAAATAAGGGAAAGCAAAGCATAGTGAATCCTACAGCATCATGCTGGCAAGTTATTCCCCGTCTAAGAGGAAATCATTAAAGATGTTAAAACTGAAAATGTTGGGGGAAGACTATATCTAAAAATGACTTCTTGTATCTAAAAACTTCAAGGGTCTAGTCAAAGCCCAGATTTTATTCTTCAAATCTTCAATTCTTTGTATGACTTGAAGATCATCCAACAGCTTTTTGAACAACCTTAAGAAAGCTTCAGTGCTACTTTCTTCTCACTGGAAGATTAACATTCTGGTAACGAGATTATTAAAAAATAGACACGCTGCTTGTAACATCTGCAAATTGGCTCAAGAAATTGAGGCTTGGGGTTGTTTTTCCGCCCCCAAAATTTAAAATACTCCTCTAATATAAGGCATTTTGTGCCAATCAAATTTAAAAAAGAAATGCTCAAAGTGCATGGTAACCTTCAGTTGGAAGGGAAGAAAATAAAAATCCTGCTGGAAAATAAAAGAGGCAAGTACAAAGAACACTTCAGGTGTTTGAAAGCACTTCCCCTGCTGTTCCAATTGGTTTTTTGGGGGTTTTTTTATTCCAACAGTCTCTTGCTAAGAAATGTGCACCGGTCAGCTCAGGAAGCTTTCACACACCTTCGGTTCTGATTGTGTGATTTGTTTTTTGGGGTTTTTTCCCAATGACCCACTGATCCGCTCGCTTTCCCAGCATCACCGCCACGGCCGCCAGCATCGGTGCAGCCGGAATCCCGCAGGCCGGACTCGTCACCATGGTGATCGTGTTGACCTCCGTGGGGCTGCCCACCGATGACATCACTCTCATCATTGCTGTTGACTGGGCCTTGTAAGTAAAATCTCTCTTTTTTTTTCTTTTTTCTCCACTTCAGAAAAGCATAATGGAGTTCAGCGAATCATCTAGACACGGTTTTGGTACTGCTGCTGCCAGGACTGAGAAAAACAAATTACAACAACGTTTTGAAGCTTCACAACAGATTACGACCGGAGTTAAAAAAAAACTTCCATGTGGCCTGACTGAGGAAAATAAGTTTTAAAAATGTCCCTTTGCCTTCAGGGCAAAAGATACATTTTATCATATTTTCCCCCTGCTGCTTTTGCCAACCATTGTACAACTGATGCTAATGCTGCCGTCACATCTGGAATAATAAACCAAGAAAACATTTTCAACGATCAGTCAACTTTAAATTCTAATAAACATTTAATACTGGAATTGGAAGACATTTTAAATATCCAAAATAAATAAACAAAACAAATAAAATCAGTTTTTGAAGCTTCTGTTAACAAAATTGACCTTCACAAAAAAAAAAAGGTCTAAAGCACCAGACTGAAGACTTTGGTCGTCCAGTTTTTAGTAGAAAGAGAGAAAAAAGAAAAACAATAAATCCTGCAAATAGAAATTGAGTTTGTTTTAGTTCATCATTGATTTATTGCTAGCTGTGTGCTCTCTTGGGTTGCAAACAATACACTAAAAAAAAAA